TGACTTCAGACGAGCAGCGTGAGCCTTTGCGTGGTCTGACTCATATCTGGGAGAGCTGGCAGTGGCAATCGGCATTGCTAGCTGGAGTAGGCAAGGGCGTGACAAAATAACTGCATTAATTTCCCAGACTACTAGAAACCTTTGCAAATAGCGTGAGTTTAGCTCAGTCTCATGACTTTGTTTAATTTGTGGGTTTTTTGGTTTTTTGTTTTGGTTTTTTTCATTTTGCTTTGGGGCTGGCAATGTGAAATGAAGCAGCACTTGAAAGCAAAAATAATTTAAAATAGAAAAATAGATTTAGGATGATTGTCTTGAAGTGCCTAACTGGACTGTTGTGCAGATTTATTCCAGCTTTGGTGTCTTTCTTTCATGCTCTACCTCTTCTGAAAGCTCAGTCACAACATTTGTCATTTTTTTCCCCTCTTTGTTCTTCCTACATTGGCAACTAGTGCCAACGGAGGTGTTTGGATGGGAACATGTGGGTTGTGTCTCTGTAGACATTCAGCAGAGTTCAAATCATCTGAAATGGAAGACTCATCCAATGTCATCCTTATGTTTTAGACAAAATCATCCCGGAAAGTCTCATAACATCACTAACACGAAAGGATCTTAAAGTAGACCCTGAATACATGTACAGGTATCACTTTACGAGCCGCTGAAATGCAGCCGTCTCCTGAGTGAAAAACAACAGCTGTTCAGTCATGTACAGCAATACTAGGAAAACTACTGACCCAGAGATGAATAATAATATCTGAAAATTAATGTCTGTGCAAAAATATTTCATGCATTGCTAGGGAAGCTTACTTCGTAGCTATACCTTTGATCCATTCCTACTGGTTTAAGTGCTTGCATCTGCCAATGTTTAAAATGCAGGTAGACAGAATACAACAGATTATGAAGGTTATTATGTTTTCTTTTGTAATTTGAACAGGTTTGGATTGTTTTCTGTTTGGACATGGCCAAAATACAGTACTCGAACTTGCAATAATGTGCTAAATAATGTTTAAAAACAATTACAAAAGCCACAATTTAGCAGCAAAATTAGTAACACATGGTATATAGAAAGGAAATAAAAATTCCTACTGCTGCATTTTATTGAATTAGAATCTTTGTGAAAAGAAAAATAAAATGTAGTAGGTCAAATATGTAGTGATTTTGCCTCCATTTTCTATGGGTAATACTAAAATCTCAAAAGAGTTGAAACATACCAGGAATAAATAGTATTTAATTATAAACCACAACTGCATTTAGGAAGAATGAATAAATATGTGGTACCACTTTATTATTATATGTAAATACATTTATGCTCTTTGTCTTACCTGCCGGCATCTTCCACCCTCAAAGCATGGCCAAATAGCTGTAGCACAACTGAGGAGGTGGGGAGCTCTTAGTGTGCATCAGCTGGTGATAAAATAAAAACTCATTTGGCAGAATATTCCCTTGAGAAGGTCCTGTGTCTCTTTCTCTGCGCCCAGCTGCTCCTTCCTTTCGCCAGAAGCTTCTGACCCCATCAGTTGGGCTGAATGCCAAATAAATTCTACATGTGGCTGGTCTCTAAGTAAGGAGAAGTAAATTTCTGTCAAGGTTATAGAATGAGAATCCTTATTTATTTCAAATCAAGTACTGGGTATGCTTCCAATGCGAAATTAATGACCTTAATTTAAACCATGAGGAAATGGGAAAGGATATGTTGGATTTGGAGGCAGACAGCTGGAGAAGAAATACAGTAGTGAAAGCAGTTATGAAACAAAAACTGAAGCAGTCACAATCACTTCTCCAAATGTGGGAGCCTGAAGTACTTCAGGATACAAGTCTGCTAATTACAAATCTAGGAAATATGCCTATATAGCTTTACCTCTGTGCTGGCAGGAAGTAGGAAAATAGATCATCAAGAAACTTAGTTACTATTCTTTTGGACTTCCTAATGTATCAGCAGTTCAAGTGTTGGTATTTTGATCGCTGGGTTCTGGAAGAGTTGTTTGCCTATTCTCTTACAGACCAGAAATAACTTAAAGCTTTCTCAGTTCATTGTCCATCTGTCCACAATGCCTCGTGCTATACTGTCTCTGAGGACTTGCTGTAAAAAAATGTTTTTTTACTGTAAGATATGACACTGACATACTTAGGAGATCAGAGAATGTATAACTAAAAAAATATGGAACCGGCCTAAAATCCCTATGAGTGCATGTTTTTCTTGAGATAACACAAAATTTAAGTGGGCTTTTGAAGGCTAAGCTCTTAAAGTATCATTCTTGGTAGGAGAACTGATCAATAATCATTATACCTCTGTGTATCAATCTGTAATATCTCCTGTAATTTCTTTCTATAGGTAACTAGTAAACAAGAACAAAGCTCTTTATATCTGCCAAGTTAGAGAAAACTGCCAATTTTGAAGGAAAGCAATTTTATTATTGTTTACCTACGTGTTAGTTTGAAAAGGTACATGCTGGGCTAAAATGAGCTATAGCTAAATGATTAGAATGGCTTGAGCTAAGCTAAATTCAGTGGTTTTTTACCTAAACAAAATACATGCAAGTAAGATAGTGCATACCATAACTTTCAACAGTCACATTAATGCTCAGATGAGAAATGGTGGGGGTGAAAGCAATAGAAGTTTTGTTTTTAATCAAATCAAAATACCTAATACCTGCCCTTAGGTTTAGTTTATGTAACTTAGGGGTATTATACCACCAGTAACTAAAAAAAAAAGCAAAAAAAAATGCAGCAGTTCTGTCTAAGGCAGATAATCTGCTTTAAGGAAAAGTAATTTCCTTGTAACTGCATTCTAAGCCTTATATTGATTTGCTTTGCACAGCATCCAACTGCAACATTTAATAAATAATACTATTACAAAATTGCATATACTGATAAATGGAAAAACAGATCACCTGACTATCTGAACATCAGTATTCAAACACTGAAGAAGTGATCGAGTAGAAGCTAGGGGAAAAAAAACCCAACGTGAGTTTTCTCAAGATGTTTCTTTAGCTTTTTTAATTACTCGTTAATGTTTAACATAATCCTGAATGTCTTGCATTGTCCTGTGTAATCTAAGAGTTAGCTATTGGCTTGGTTATTTGTAATAGTCAGTAATACCCTCTAGTGGTATACGTAGGAAAAGAATCCAGACAAAGAATGATTACGTTTTTTTTTTTTGTTATCGTGAAAGAGGCTAAATAACATCTTCACTTGTGTACTACAGGGTATCACTGCCCTGTTGAGAAGTGCTAGTTAAAGTGGAGAATGCACTGCAGCATTAGACTTGAGTTGGCTGTTTGGGTTTAGTTAGAACAGGTGGGTCTAGAATATGACTTGGACCAGCAGAAGTCTTGAATCGCTTGTTGTTTGCAGCTAAAACAGATTGCCACTGCAAAACCTGCAGTCTGGAAGGTGTGGTTGTAGTGATGTCCAGGTCAGAGAGATCCATCCAGACATCTGAGAGCTACATTTAATTCCTGCACATTAGAAGTAAGTCTGTAGGCAAAATAGGAATACTCGTCAGTCTACAATACTGTAGTGTAATAAAGTCTGTATTTCCAGCCTCCATGTGCAGTTCAGAGTTCATTATAAAAACAGACTTCTGAAGAAGCTCGTATACAGTGTTTCCTGCAGTTACCAGGTCTTTTGTTTTATTTGCCAACTGGCAAAGGTTCAGAGATTGAGGTGAAAACTGACAATGCTGGAGAAAAAAATCCAACAAATGCCCCTCTTACCAAGAAAAAGCTTTGGAGCTTATTGAAAGAAGTGCATAAATACTCTTGAATCTTTTCCAGAAGCCCAGGCTACTAATGTTGAGTCATCTGGGTCCATTTTGAAATCATCTTTGTTTCAATAAACAAAATATCCCTAAGCAAAGGTAATATCCAGGAACAACTTCAATTTTTCTAAAGTCAGTGTGCACAGTATTTGTCATGATGTGATGATACTTGACAAGTATCATACATTCTGATTGTCACTTTGTTTTTGCCCTTGTTCTGCAACTCCATTATTGATAAAATATTTTAAAGCTTTTGGTAGTTTGTCATGGTTTTCTGGTGGCAGTGATTACTTCCCGCCCCTCCAAGAGGAAAGATCTCATACTATTCAGCTATCACACTGGTTCAGACTTTAAATCAGCTTCTAAACTAATGTTAAGCAAGATGGTAGTCAGAAGCCAATTATTTTAAGGCCTCATGAAGGAAGGATTTACTATGCCTTAGCTTTCTGAGCTGTATTAATTCTGCATTATGTTCCTGGCATTAGTTCAGCTATTGCAGGGTCTTGGACCTGAGTAATTTTCAATATCTCTAGTTACCTCCTTATTACTTTTTTTTCATATGCTGTGGCAAATCAATCTCTGCTTTTTTTCTTCTTCTAAAGCATACAATAAAAGAATGAAAAAAATTGCCCCTCTCCCAAGCTGGTGTAACTTCACTGGTATTAATGTAGTGCTATAGGATCTAATCAAACTTTCAGACTCCAAATCACAGTTAATAAAACTGAGACAGTAATTAAAAAGAACAAAGTTCTGACAAGGATTTATTAATTTATGCTTGTGAACAAATGTGTTTGACAGTTGAATGATGAGATTGCCATACTCTGTACAGTTTTTTCTAGAAATCGTCTTTCCACTGTGTCGACAGAACCTGCAGTACAGAAGTTCAGAAGTGGGTGTCAGTTCACAGACTCTAACCCAGTTACAAAGATGGCTGCATGCCCAGATGAGATGAAGGTTCAGACTTTCTTGCTACTGTTCCTATATGTTCAATCTTGCTGAAAAACCAATCAGGCTGTCTGACACCTGGCACAGGAGGGGAGACACTAGGTGTTACCTTCCTGTGTTAAGCTGGCTAAGAAGTTTTATTACCAAAAAGAACAGGAAAAAAATCTTTTAAAGCTATTTCAAGCTAAAAGCTGGAAGGAAAGAAGCTAGTCAAGCTGAGCCTTCTGTGCCTTTTTTTTTTTCAGTCCACGCTGAAGGTTGAGAAAAGTCTCCTTCAAAGGAAAACAACCTCTATACTTTAACTGGGGGAAAATGGCAGTTCTGTGGTTACTTTAAAACTGCTGCTTTCTGGCAGGTGGGCAGATACAGACTGTAAGTGGCAAATTGTGCAGAACACTTGCAGATGGGCAGATACTGACTGTGGATGGCATTTTGTGCAGAACACTTATTTTTCAAACCTTTAAATATTGATTTATGTATATAAGAAAGACATATAAAATCTCTAAATATTTTCTCCAAGCCTTAATTTCCTCATCCACTGGCAAAAAAAATAAATATTAAAGTTTTCTAATCTTCACTTGAATTGTCAAATTCCTCCCAGTCTGATACACTCATAACTTCCGATGGAAAGTCAAGGTGATATTTCACACGGTCTGTGTGCCATTCTGAGAACCATTTCTCTGTTTCCATTAGAACAGCCCTGGGCAAAGTGAGAACGCAGGCAGCCATCCCAGAAATATCATCCTCCAACTGGGGTCCTTCCTCCCAACAGTCTCTCTCTGCATCGTAAATGTGGACATAGTCCATGCGGATTCCTCTGTTGTGGGATCTGCCTCCCAAGACATAGATCCTGTTGTCTAAGACTGCAATACCTGGCTCTCCGTGTCCTGCAGGAAGTGGACATACATTTGTCCACTGATCAGTGCTTGGCCTGTAGCAGGCAACCTGTAAAAAAAATGAGAGAGATTAGCCAAAATCAAACTTGTATCTTAGTGACAGAGCCTGGCCACATGGCAGACTATTTAGGAAGCCATGCAATATCATCAGTCTTTTGACAGGGTGTTGATAATGGAGAGAGCATATCACTGTGTAGTAGAAGTACAGTACTCGGCAGAAAATCGTGCATGCAGCATTGAATCACAACTTCTGACCCTGCTGCTGGGGTAACAGCTGTATGTCACTCAAAAATGTATGCAAGGGTGAAAGAGATAGGGACATATGCTAATATAAGCTCAGACATAATGCATCTGTTTGCATTAGTTAAAAATGAGCTGGAACAAACAAATACGAAAAACCTGCTATGCTGTCTCTGCACCGTATATTGGGAAGCTTTAGATTTCATTGGGTACCTACTTGGCTCACTGCTTCTATTTGTAAGCACCTTTTTATCATTCAGATACGCTGCCATCTTCATTGGCTTTATAAGAGCAGTTATTTTTGTGACTTCTTTTCATGTCTCTAGCACTTCTAGAAGCTGGAGTAAGACTCCCAGGCATCACTTATCATCAGGTACTGTAAATTTAATAGCATTATACAATTGCCATCCAACATATCCGTAAATCTGTCCTGCAATTAAACATTGGTAATTCGAAAGTCCTCAACTTAGAAAAGAATGCATGTGAGAAGACAATGCAAAGTGAATTTAACTGTTCTGCTACTTGCTGGGTATATGCAGCCCAATGAATGTTATCCTGCAAAGTTGTTTTAAAATTGGTAGGAATTCCAGTTGCTAGAGCTTTAATGTTTTGTGGGTTAGACAATGCATTCAAGACATACAGTAGTAAATAAATAATTGCAAGTTCTACAATTGAGTGGGGGAGAGCTGGTGCAGTAGCTCTTGCTAGGCAGACGGTTAAATTAGCATACTTAGTAGGAGAAAGATACGTCAGAGTGCAAGCATCCATAAGAAAGACACTCTTCCAAGAAGGACGCAGGTATGACGTGCTCTTACCTGGTGAACATCTCTTCTGTAACCAGAATCATTGTTGCTTCCTCCAATTACGTAGAGCTTTCCTAGCAGTGCTGCCATCCCATGCCAAGCACGTCTCACCGGACCGTCTGCTAAAACCTCCCAGCGGTCAGTCTTTGGGTCATAACATTGTAGCTCCTTTAAATAGTCTTCTCCTCTCCTCCCACAAGTAATATACATCTTCCCATCCAGTGCTGCTCCAGCATGTGCATATACCTGTATCACCCCGTGGGAAATCAAGAGGTTGAGGCCTGGATTTATTAATTTGTCCCAGTTTCAAAGTATGGAATAGACATCGGGGAGTGACATTCTTCATGAGTTAAGCAGATATGAACATCTAGGATTTTCTTTTAGACAGTTCCTTTCTAGGTGATTATGCTGTGTGAATTTCTGAATGAAATACACTAGAATTTCTAAAACTTCCAGAACTGCTGTAGGTTCTCATTCTTTATTTTTAGCTGAACACTCATACTAATACTTTTCTCCCTAGTCTACTTGGAAGTCTTTCTGTTGGAGACTTTTCTTATCAAGCATTGTTATCAAGAATGCAAGATATCCCACTTTGCAGTACTCAGTTGGATCTTTAAGCTTTTTATATCCCTGGCATTGACACACATTTATTATTTGCAACCTCACACAACCGCCGCCTTCTCCTGTTTATCCTCTTCTGCCTTTGCATCCCTTCTGTAAAACAGCAGTAATATTTATGTTTCTAAGGTGTCCTGAGATTTTCAATTGAGAGGCATTATGATACCATAAATATTTTGTGCTGATCACTAGACCCAAAGCTTTTAGAAGGTGTAGTAGAAATCAGCAGTTTCTTGAAAGATTGCTTAGGATTTTTGTTTTCTTCCCTAACAAGATTAATCAAGCAGTTGTTTGTATTTATTTTCCTCCTTGACATGAAAACTTTTAACATGAAAACGAAAATTCTTGCCTTTTTTAGCTATATTAGAGCTTGGAACATAAACTTTTCCACTCATAACCCCAGTTTCTACATTACTACACTGTTTCCTGGTTCCTGAGGTCACAACTACTAGTTTTGCAATGGCTGTTTTAGAAGATAAATGGTACTGATGACAAAATGTAGCTATTCACTCACGTATTTCGAGTGAGTAATGGTCTTACATTAGCTGCTGAGATGTGATTCTGCGTCACATAAGCTATTGTGACCAGCACTTGTTACCCAATCTCAGTTCGGTGTCCAGGAACTATGTGGTCTATAGAAACTGATGGACCTTCTTACTGGGGCATGGTCTCTTCTGATCAGGAGTAAAGTGTGTTGTCAGGACTGTAAGTGAGAAGCTTGTACTACTGTGGCTCATAGTTAATGAGACTAAGAGGAATGGGAACTTCCCAGAGATTATGTGTTCAATTTTAAATGGTTTGAAGAATTAACACAATAAAGGGTCAAGGGAAAACAAGAAGAAAACAAGGAATTTACATATATTATTATTCTCCTTTCTTGATATTAATTTTTCCCATATTCAGAGGGTACTGTTTCCCATCAGAGTATCAGCACATTTAAAGCTACACATAAGAAAAGTATCTAAAAAGATGAAATCAGGAATTGGGGTACTGTAGTAGTGTGTGTGGCTAATGCACTCCTTACCTCCTTCTTCAGAGGTGTCACATACTCCCAAGTGTTGCTTTTAGGGTCATACCTCTCCACTTCCCTCAAGTCTTCATGGTAATCTCGGCCTGCGACAGCATATATATAGTTGTCCACAACACAAACACTGAGGTCAGCATGCTCTTGCTGTAGGGATTGGATCTGAAACCATTTGTTGTGTCGCGGGTCATACCTTGTAAAAGAACAGGATCAAAGAAAGTTATTCATACAGCCGCAGAACCATTGCTGGAATACCAGACAGCACCACAGATGTGGGTTACTGTATTGTCTTTGGCTGAAATTGAGCTCGGCTGTAAGTGGAGTGAAATTTGGCCTTGTCAGCATTTTATTATTAGCAAAGTTGTTTTATTCTATTTTTAGAAGATGTATTTTAGTTGATATAATCATGCTATAAAAGCCTAGGTTTTCCATGATCTTATACACTGCTGTCAGGTTATATTTAAAAATCTCTGCTTGCACAAGGTAAAACAGTCTAAAAATAGCACAAAGGATATTCAAGAGGCCAAGAGGGGCATAAATTTGTGGTGGGTTCTTTGAGTTCTTTGACTTTTTTCCCCAAATATCTGCTGCTCAAAGTGAACTTCATGATTAATTTTCAGATCGAGATATCTATCTGGTCTGAAAATTTTAGTTACAGAGAAAACTGTTTGTGAAGTGAAACTGCGCATGACATAAAATAAGGGCAACTTAGCTAAAACTACTAAGAATTACCACATTATAAAGATAGAAGGGTTTATATCTGGTTTGCAATGTAATGGGCATTACAATCTAAAACTGATACTTCTGCTCTTTTCCCTGGCACAGAAGCCCTTAAGAGCACTCTGGAATGCTGCTATTGTGCACACAAATCCTCGACAATCAACCAGTGATAGCATTTTATTTAAAAATCCTTTTTGGTAGCTAAATGCCTTTGCATTGGGACCAAAACTACACAGAGAACTTTTAGGAAATCCCAGTTCAAGAGCATCTAGACAGTCTAAGGTTGCAGGGGATTCTAGTTCATTACTGCTTTAATACTTCCTCCGACAGGGCAGAAAGTAGCACACGTAATGCTCTTGAATGAGTAGCTGTTTCTACCTTATCATGCTCTTCTTTGTCCCATAAGCACTGCTGGCTCATTTCTTTATTTCTTGTTTTCTTTCAGTGAGGCTTCTGCTCAGTTCCTAATAATTTGGCCGGCAAGGACACATACTGCGCAACGGGCTTACTGACTAAGAGGTGGGCAATAGGGTGGTAATAAGAAGAATAGCAGGATTATCCTTATCTTACCTCCAACACCTTGACTCTGCTCGAAAACCACTTACATTGTTGTCTCCGCCAATTAAATATACAAAATTATTGAGAACTGCAATCCCTTGGTTGGACATTCTGGGGGCTAGTGCAGCTGTAAAGTGCCTCCACTCTCCCAACAAGGGGTTCAGATACTTGGCTTGATCACTGAGGACAATGGATGGAGTAGAATGCATCCCTCCAAATCCCACTACACACTGGAACTCTGATCTCAGCTGTGTCTGGGAGCTCTGAAGCATTGGCTGAAGACATTCATTCTTGTGGTACATTAATGCATCTGCGACTGTATCTTTTAAAGGACATGGACTTAATTCATCATGAAGCCTTTGCAGGACCTGGGGTTCCATCAGAGGAAAACGAACTGTCTCCAGTAGCTTAAGGGGTTCCACCAGGGAGACCTGATCTGTCTCCAGTTGCTCTGGAGAATAATGATAAAAAAGTGCCCCATCATAAACTTGAAACTCATAGTTAACCTCCAAACGGTTGCTGCTGAGAAGGGAGTAGACTTTCTGCAAGGGTAGCTGTCGGTACACTTGTGTCCTTGAGAAAGCCGCAAAGTTCTTCAAAATGTAGGAGTCCAGCTGATCACTCAAATGTCTCAAGTCATAATGGTCAGCTAGTTTGTATACATCGAGGATGTTCTCTTCGTCTACCCAGGACATGAGGAAATCGCAACAGAACTTAATGACTTCTGGAATCTGCAAGAGAGATATTTTTTATTTCAGACACCACTTGCCTCACAGTCAAGAGACAGGTGACAGAAACCTGAGATGACTGTGAGAAAGTTGTCTGCAAGACGACTGCTCTCCTCACAGTCTGATCACTGCATCACTCAAGACCACAGAAAGCCATTTGAAGGGAAAATTAATGTTTAGTGTTGTCTTCTGAACACAAAGTGAAGTTGTATCTGGCAGGAGGGACTACTGCCAAATAAAGAACTAAATGCTGTCCAAAAGTCGCTCTGCTAACAACTTGGTGCTAGGTGTGTAGAAATCCACCCAAGTAAGCACCCAGAAAGATCGAGATTTAGTATCAAAGCCTTGTGCAGCAGTTAGCTGTAGGGGAATTAGAGAGAAAACCCTTTTCTTCAAGGCACATGAACTCCGCACTTGGTGCAGAAACCATAGCGGTGACAGTGTCAGGGGAGGTTATGTGCCTGTGGATGCAATCTGGGGAAGATCTTGGCAGGCTTGAGCAGCACAACAATTTCTGAGCAGCAAGCCCTGTCCTTTACCATAGGCCAGAGGTATTCTATTCTAGGGAACTTTTCATAAGCAAATCTTAAGTGCGTGCTGTATAAAACAGTCCTCTAGTGAAATGGTAAACTTTTGTTAAGTAATAAAACCATTGGCACAAATGAGAGACACATGCACTCATTCATTGTTCTGACACTTCCACAGTTAGTTCCAGTGGAAACAGCATCCCACAGAAATTCTTCTCATCAGACCCATGCTCTTTTTCACCCCTTAACCCTCCATCTAACCAGATACTCATGTTTGCTCTTTTCTTTCATTGCTGCTTTGGTTTCTTGCTTTTTTTGTCACATCTCCCAGTACCTCACCTGAAGCTGACAGGCTGCAGCTAAGGTTTCCTGTACGCTGTTCACACTAAGTTCCAGCTCAGAAGTGTAAATGAAGTTCAAGATTTTGCACATTGCATTGTAGGAGATGCCATGAATATGAACCTCTTCTTGTTCCATCTCTCTCAGTCCTCCTGCAAACATTCCTCTGTAAAAAGACAAGGGCACACATGCTGTGGCAGATTTGCATTGAAGCTATATTCAGTTTGCTTATCTTATATTGTCCTGGGAACATAAATATTCAGAAAGGTAAGAACCTAGCCAGACACTTCTATGGGATTACCTCTTCTCTAATCCAATGATAGAAACAGTACACGCCTTTAGGGCCTGAGAAAGTAATATTCTTCATTGTGCAAGAAAACAGTAGGGGCCATCTGAAAGCTATGATTCACATCTGAAGGACTTAAATACAGACCCAGTACATATGGATAGTCAATGGGAAGAGGCAGTACTGGAGTGTGGGGGAAGAGGAAAAACAGGGGAATTTGGGACTGTAAGAATTTTTTCTAAGCTAGAGCAGTTCTTCCTCCAGTTAGAATTTCATCTGGATTGCCTTGGGATTTGTTTGTTTGCTCTACGAATATAAGGTCAGTTCAAGAAACTGCTAGTCAGATTGACCAGGGAGTGCCTGATTTAATGGACAGCAAGTCACACTATAAGCACATAACAGCGGAGTGACCCACTTCAGTGACTTTCTGTGTCGTATGAAATGATGACCACAATGGGCAAAGTCTTACAATGCTAAGGATATGTTAAAAGCCACCCAGAGCGCATTTATGCAGAATACACCTGTTCAGATAGTGTCTCCTCTTTATATACCAGGTACCACAGGCAGTGAATTTAGTGGAGGTAAGCTCAGTGTGCTGGAACAGAGAGATGAATAAAGCCATACTTGGTAATTTGAAGCACATGCAGTTCCATCTTACAGGTCTAATTTCACATCCAGAAGCAGTGTGGCAGAACAGAAGGTATGGATGTTGCAGGTTTGAGTAACATTCAGACACATGCTTTTTACTGCCATACTGAAGTGTACCTGAAATAGTCACAGGATGCAGCTAGAAGTATGCGATGAGCCTCAATAGGTTTCTCTTCCACTACCAGAACTACATCGAAGAGGATGCTGCTGTCTCGGAGAGATACCAAGCCACTGAGCAAGGCCTGAGAGTGCTCTGCACTGCGGTATGTGTTGCTGGTGCGCTGCTGAAGGGAGGGCTCGAGTTGAGCTTTGTGTGGCTGAGTCAGCTCCTGATCCTCCGCCATCCCAGGCAGAAATGCTCAGCCACCAGCTGTAGCAGAACGAAATCTGTGAGACAACAGAATCAGCAAAGGTTTGTGCCTTTTGCTTTACAAATGGTCCTCTGACCCCCGTCTGTCACAGTAAATAAATCAAACCAACGCTTCAATCAATGGAGAGACAGTTCTACCCTGAAGCAATTATTCCGAATGATGATACTGGAAATGGACAGGTGTATATCACCAAACTGGCAGAACATGCTTTTCAAACAAGTATTCTGACTCTTGGGTTTTCAGTTCAAGAGTCAGAGTGTGTAGCATTTGGGGATATTTTTTTCTTAACAAGAGTCTCACTTCCCAACCTATTACCAGAACCCCTTGTTTCCTTTGCATTTCTGCATAATTTATAACAAAGAATAAAACTGCCATAACTTTTGCCAAATTCCAAGTTGCCCAATATCCTCAGATAATTTTGCTGCAATACAAACTGCACCTTTACTCTTTCTCTTGATATTTTAGCCCAGAATCTGAAAGCTCTCCTCTCTCCCTCTCTTTGGTTTTTTATTTTCCTTAGCTGAGCACATTTCCACCTATCATTCTGTAAGATACTACATGAAACTGTAGGCTTCAAAGTGAGTTTCTTTATTGTGGCAACTTCAAGCTAGCATGAACAACTGCTTTTCACTTCACCATGATCCCCTGCAGAAAGAGGGTATTTCCTCCAGCCTAGGCAGTGTGGAGGGCCATCCTGTACCTTTTTCTAGGGCTCCCATTGATACTGTAGGAAAGTCTCCAGGGGCACATGGGAAAACACCTGTAAAAAGCTGGCTGGAAGTGACTGTGTTTCATGTCTATAGTTAAGCTGTCAAAATCTCATGAGTCCTCTTCTGACACCCTGTAATTTACCCTTTCCATTGTCATTGAAGAATGTCATAAGTTGTAGCAGTTTGGGCTCTTAGACTCTACCCAGTTGTCAGAGCGCATTAAAAGAAAATGCATTAGCAAAAGGAAATAATTTGGCTGATATGGCTGCTTGAGACTGTTGTAATAGCTTCTCCTCCAGCGGCCTGGGAAAGAGCTTAGTGGCACAAGAGATGGTCACAAGGGGTTATCAGCAGTCAGAGGAGCAAAAGCAGAACAAACTCAACAAATCCAAGCAAACAATGAAGAAATGGAACCATTGTTTGATTGTGCCAGCCACAGACAGCGAATGCAGCATTGGAAATCTCTCAAAGTTCTGCAAGGTATTCTGTGTATGGTCAGTGAGGAAGGAGCTATCTGGGTGACACCAAGAAATACGAAAATGTTTATTGTTCTGCCTGAGGGAAGTTACCTTACACTGCCCAAAACAAAAGGAAGCTAGGTGGCATTGCATGGTACATGGGATAGAAAAAACCCTGTAAAAGCGTATTAATGGTTGTCTGCTCTTTGCCAGCAAACCCAAGACAACCAGCTCAGAAGAAGAGCTCCAAAGAGACAGACTTCTACAGAGCACATTCAGGTCAGTCATATGGGGGAAACGATCCATCATCAGCTGAAGAGATGAGTAATGGATTATTTTTCATGACAGGTAGATGCCTTTCCTAGAAATAAGGTGACAGCTTTTGAAGCAGACAAAACATTACTGTATTGTTTGATTTGCTCTTAGGGAATATCAACAGTGATGGATGGAGGCAAGGGAGATAATGTAGTAAGAAAGGCAAGTGAAGGAGTGTTACTAGACATTGATTAGCAATTTTCCTTTCCACTAAAAGGGAATAAATCTGGCAAAAGCAAAGTAGGGTGAGATATGGTCCAAATGAGGAACAGATTCAGATAAACCACATTAACAAAGTAATGTGGTTTAACATGGTTAACACTTCAGAGCTAATGTGGTTAATGCTCCAAAAAAGCTTGCATCTTTCCAGCAACTTAGAGCACTATATCAAAAGAAGTCTCTATGAGGATAAAATCATTGCATCAAAAACCAGAAATAAGTATAACAAATGAACTGTTTTCTGAATCCAAAGACTTCTGTTGGCGAGGTGAAACAGCATGACCTTTGATGCAACGTTACAGCGTGTCACATAGTGTAGCCATTGGTGGAAAAGAGGCTCAGGAGAAAATAGTGAGATCTATTAAAGCTACATGGGCCATTAAACGTAACAGTGTTAACAAAATAATGTATTGTAGAAAAGGTGGTTTCCTGAGAGAGAGAGGAAAATGCAGGGTAGAGTGGGAAACCTGTATAGTCAAGCTATGCCAAGCATTTATTTAAATCTACCTTTAGTTAATGTAACTGTAGACAGTTACGATTCAGAATATATTCTGTAACCAAATTATCTTAAAAAGAAGCAGAAAGGGGGTGAAGCTTTCAGCAAGTAAAGCCCCAGAAGGGATCCAATTTTATTAATATGTTAACTGGAAGCAGGAAGATCAAATGGTATTATGAAATAGAGTAAATTTTACAAAACCAAACACATAATTCAGGGACTCTGAAGCCTGCATGAACATTAGTATCTTTCAGTGACAAATGGGGCTGTCTTGGAGACCTGCAGGGAGTTTATCTCACTGCTAGTTCTACTAAATATGGACTTGAATTATCCCACAACCATTAGCAACAGCTGAACAAACCAGTTAGTTTAGCTGACCTGTGGTAAGCCCAGTGCGGTCAAACATAGACGCTGGGAGTGCAGCTGAACCATCCTCCACAGCTGATTTTGACTACAGGGATTTTGCTAAGCTCTGCTTTCTGAATTTTGGCCGTTTCTACTTCTTGTTCTCAACTTTTTCCCCTGGATTGTATTTTGGCTGTCACTGCTGAGCTGGACTGTCCTCAGGGTGGTCACTCATAAACGTACACCAGTACAAAAGCTGCCTGGCACATCTGGAGCACAGAGCCACTATGGTATGGAAATTCACCTCTCTACCTGAGTAGTTTGCCATCCACAGTTATTTGCTGCTAGCCAATTTAGCCTATATCCTGCCATGTGTATCTCCCTACTCTCCTAAATTGGGCTTCAAGCCTCGTAAGTAAGTATAAATGCCTATAATTTTTGTTTTAACCAGTGGTAAGAGTCTCCTCTAGAAAAATTCTCACTGCTATGATTTTTATGAATTGTCACCTACTTATAAACATGAGCACTTATGGTATTAATCCATTATGTCTGACACAAGTGGTTAAGTCCTCTTCTTTGAGCCAAAAGCCAAGGAAAGCCTCTTATCTCATACCTAGGTAGCCTTAGGAGCTGGTAGACAAGACCTTTAAGACAAGGAAGTCTTGTGGGGGATGGACAGCAAGATTTGCTTAGCTGATTACTGAGTGCCCTCACCTTTGTAATAGCTGTACAAGGACCACCTGGGGTTGGGTGGGTAGGAAGTTACAAAAAGTGGTTGTTGAAGCAGTTAGTGAGGTTGTGCTGTGGGCTTTTTTGAAAGAAAAGTGGGGTGGCTTCAGTATTCAAGTTTTCTGGATTAAGTGCAGTATGCTTGGTGAGCTGATGGTTTCGTGTATTTCTCTGAATGTTGTTCTAAATGCTTACCACAGATTTGCTGGGAAGGGGTGCTGGTGTTGGCCACAACACCTTGTTTCCTCACACTTTACACATTGTTTCTCACTTTGTGGTCCTAATTATGACCTTTTTCCCGTGTGCTTTGTGCCTTTGTTACTGTCTAAAAATCTGGTAGCCCAAACAGTGGAACTGTGCTACTTTATGTGTGGTGTGCCAGCTGAGTTGGGGTAATGACTGTTAACCTATCTAGGAATTGTTATGCCTTTTAAGTGTCCATCAGTCTTAAAAAATAACATGAAACTTTATTGAATAACCTCTGTACAGTTTTAGCTGAAAATAATTTAAGCCCATCTCCTCAAACTTGTATTTTGCCTAATCTCTATTGTCCATTAAAAAAAACAAACCCTAAATGTAATACAAGCTGGAGAGACAGGAGACGTTTGTTCAGGTTCTTGCATGCTGCAAAACCCCTTCTATTTACTGTCTTTCCTTCCTGACCACTCACACTTGAGACACTATTTACACAGGCTGGCAGAACTGTCCCTGTAAATGAACTGTTGGCAGGCCCTCAGCAGCTAATGTAAATACCCAGTCACTTGCACCATGCAGTTAAGTTCCTTCTACCCTGACCTGCTGTAGCAGAAGGGGGCCTGGAGGATGTTCTTGAGGCCTCTCTGCTCTCTTACTTCTGTTATTGAGAAACTTACTCTGTGATTGAGCCAAGTTCCTAGAAATCTGACTAACGCATTATTTTTTTCCCCTCTCGTCTTGTGCAAGTTTCTCAGTGCTGGTCATCTGTTAACAGTGGGATCCACTAGCTGAGTATTGCAGGACTGATCCTAAAGTGGAAGAGATGAGGAACTCCTGTTGGCTGTGCTGCTTTAACAGTAGCAAAGATAAGAAGCATTGTGCTGTGGGATGCTGTCTCCAGAAACAAAGGAAGGCAAGTCCTTGTTCCAACCACTTTGTAGAGAAAATCACACTAGAGATTGTTCTTAGCTGGGTGCACATAGTATTCAAGACTGCAGTTATGTTGGTTTGCATTTGTCTTTTAGAGAACATGGGTTAATGCAGTGATTCATTTTAGGGTATGATAACTGAGCACATAAAGAGGAAGAATGCGTATGCTGTTAGTAATTGAGTATTTCTACAGGCAATGCTAATGCAGGGAGACGTGCACTGTTTGATCACTTCAAAGAGTTAACCAAAACAAACAAAATCCCCTATTAATGGTAAAACCCTCAGAGGTACCTAGAAAGACATGAGCGCTTTGTCCATGGACTGAAATTGTCTATAGTCTGTGCCTGGATTCCATCTAGGAACCAGGAGAAAGCAGCCAGGCTGTGCAGTGGTAGGTGTGGAGGGAGCATGGAGGAAATCCAGTATTTCCTTCTATTTCCTGTGCTCTGTTCAAATGTCACTGTATCACTAGTGGTTTCTTTTAACAACCTACGGACACAGTGGAAGCTACAGTGTTTTAGTGGGTTGCTGATAGCTCTGTGTGATTGTCTTGTATTCAAATTCCATTGCTACAACATGCTTCTGATTACTTGTATGAAGAAGTACAACTCTTCGTGAGGCTTCCG